CATCACAATCAGCCTCTCATTTATGTCACATAATAGAATGTTCACTTTGTCTGGTTTTGTTGCAGTCTGCCCCATATATAATATTATGGTGTTCACAAATTACTATTTTCCCTAAATGCACACCCCCTCTAAATGCATGCCATGGTCTGGTCCCAGCAGCGTGCAATAGTGTTTTTTAGCTTCACCTTATAAAGAACACAAAGTGAAGTTGTAATAATAGCTGCAATGTAGTAGTAGGTTTTCATCCGGATTTACATAGACAAAATCTTGCATCTAATTATAATTGTAATATAAATAATCACTTTGACCTAATCTTTGTTTAACTTTCAGCCACACCAGCCACTCATTTATGTAATACGAAAAGGGAATGTGCCAAACGGTCAAACTGGTTTCTTTTCACCGCGCGTGCAATAAACGGAAAATGACTAATTTGCAAGACAAGTAAGTTTGCTATCTCTCGCTATTTATTGATAATAATTGTTACTTGGATCTGTCATCATGGAATGAATACCATTTTTTAACCTCGTGTTGAGGCGACTCGTCCTGTTCGTGCGCAAGATTCCTTATGACGCAACTGACGCCCAGGTAGAAGAATTCTTCTCCCAAATTGGACCAGTGAGATCCTGCTTTACAGTGAAAGAAAAAGATGATCCCGCTAAATCACAGGGGCTAAACAAAGGCTTTGGCTTTGTCCGCTATGCCCTGGCGGAGGACGCAGAGAGAGCATTGCGCGAGTTAAAAAAGGTGAAGTTTTTGGAAAAACGGACATTGAAATTGGAATATGCTGTGGGAAAGCATGAAGCAAAACCTATCGTTAAAAAGGCTGAAAAAAGAGGAAAAAAGAGAAAGTTTGACAAGATTGATATAGATACCAATGACAATAATAAAAGAAAGAATAAGAGCAAGTTAGAGTTTGGGGGAAAAGACAGAGATAAAGATGAAGACGAAGATTCTGAAGAAGAGCAACAGGGAACAAAAGATGAGTTTAATGGTGAGGAAGATGAAGATGAAGATAATGATGATGATGAAAATAATGATGAGGAAGAGGAAGATGAAGACGAAGATGAGGATGAGGATGAGGATGACGATGACGACAGCGACAATATGGATGTCGATAGTGAAGACGCATCTGATTCACAGTCTGAGACTGAAGTTGACGTAGAATCGAATCCCTCTACAAAAATGGTGACCAAACATTTACAAAAGGATGACAAAAAGACGAAAAAAGGTCCTCCACCCGTATCAGAAGGGACTACTTTATTTATTAGAAATTTATCATTTGATGCTATTGAAGAAGATTTACACAGAATGTATGTTGGCTTGTGTTTATAAAACAACTGATGACTGCTTATTAGCGCGTTTTCCTTTACTCATTAACATCTCGAATGCTATTCCAGTTTTCGCCCTTTCGGTCCACTGCGTTACTGCTTGATAACAATGGATCATGAGACGGGTCGGTCTCGTGGAACCGGTTTCGTCTGTTTTTGGGAGAAACAACACGCTGACGCTTGTTTAACAGAAGCGGAAAATTCCAATAGTTCTATATCTACCACAGAGCTTTCCTTTTTATCGAAGAAATCGAAAAGGGAACTTGGGTACAAGTCGATTCTTACGGCAGATCCATCCGACTCCTTGGTCGCCAAGTTTACGCTACATGGGAGAGTTTTGTCAGTAACAAGAGCAGTGGAAAGGGAAGAGGCAAAAAAATTTATGGATAATAATAGAATCAAGAAGAGGCAAGAGGATAAGAGGAATTTGTACTTGATGCGAGAGGGAGGTTTGTATTATAAATATAACGTATTAAGAAAGTATTCCCTATTTCGGGCTGAAGAATGGCAGCGCGGTCAAGAAAATAAGATATTAATTCGCCTACACCAATTTCGTGAAGTTGAATTAGCGAAAATAGTTAAACCAGAGTAATTCAACTCTTTTTTTTTTCGTCAATTAGTTATATTTCCTGATTCACCGGCAGCCGCAGAATTGAATCCGGCAACAATATCAAAACGCGTGGCTTCATATTCGCAGAGAAAAAATCTTTTACAAAGAAATCCCAATCTCTTTATCTCCAAAACGAGATTGTCTATCCGCAATTTGCCCTTATCTGCGGGCGAGAAGGAGCTAAAGGAGCTGGCTAAAGAGAGCATTTCGAAATTTAAGGAAGATGTAAAGAAGGGTCTACGAAATCCGTTACAACCGGAAGAAATGGCAGAAGGATGGGATCGTAAACCTGTTGTCAAGCAGGTATGTGGTACCATAACTATGATGCTACCTAATATTGTAAAATGAAGCCACCGTTTGTACGCTATTGTCTCGTAAATAACAAAGGTTGTCTTTACGTTTTGTACTTTAAAAAATAGGCCAAGATAGTAAGATCGAAAGATCGAATTGATGCAGCTAGTCGTAAACAGCGCTCCAAGGGATATGGATTTCTCGAATTTACGCAACATGCGCATGCGCTTGCTGCATTGCGGTACCTAAACAATAACCCTGAATTGTTTAGCGACAAGAAGAGATTGATAGTAGAATTTGCTATTGAGAACAATTTAATAGTGAAAAAGAGGATGGAACGATTTAAACACGGTGAAGCAAGTAATACGAACAGAATCAGTGCGAAAGCCAAAGGATAAAACGTATGCATGTCTGGTATTCCGTGTTTATTCAAAATTCTGTCAATTCGTCATACTGATTGTTGGTGAAAACATGCTGAAAGTTTATGTTTGGCTCAGCTCTGTTGATCCAAGATGTGGATCATACAAAGTTATTGTAAAGAGATGATGGCAGATTATTTAACCCTCGATCAGCGTTATGCCTAACATTTGTCAAGTATTTATCACAACATTAATTTTGAACAATTGAGAATCTTGTAATAATAAAGTCATTTATCTAAGCTGTGAATGTTGAGGCGTAGACCACAGTCTTTTGCGCATTGAGCAACCACATTGACTAGCAATCCACAAAAGTCGTGTTTATACATTGGTTCGCATTAATAAGTATAGCACGTGTATTTACTGTGAAACAAATCTTTGCTGTATCTACGAGCCTCCTATTACATCACCAACGGAGGCTCATAGACACACTGCGTGGCCAGCGTACAAGATGATGGAAGGCGTCTTAAGCAAGATGACAAACGATGAAACGGTAATTCGCATTATCTAGCTAATAAGTTTGTAGGTGGAGGGGAATATAAGAGAATGACAAAGGGATTCTCGATGCATTCATCCGATCTTCCTGCACAACGAATTCTCAGCGAGGAAAGCAAGGAAAAGACCTATGGGGTGAATTGGAGAAGATCCACTCGGGGGGATTCAGAAGGAGGCTGCCATTCTCACTACTGGATATATTTTCACTAGTGGCTGAAAAATTGTTTGCTCCCGATCTACTTCTATCGTATGTTTTATGCATTGTCTTTAGAGTTAGTCTTGTGTACTATGTAGATACCCTAGTACTAATAAAGTAAACCTGAATTATTACATAAACGTAATCCTTACGAGTTTCAAATATAATGTAGAGCTTTATTATTATACATTTATGAATTTCGTATTTAATTATCCGGCGCTTCTACACCCGATATGTGCGGCATTTTCAGCGATACATCAAATAAATGCAAAATCAATTATGAATACGGTTATTTGAATAATAGATACTAAATGAATAAAAATCTTTTTACATTGAAGAAGAGAAAACAAATTATATAAATAACATACACTTTTTTTTTCGAGAATTTGCACCCCAACAAAGGCACAACCCACCACCCACACACCACGACGCAATACCCACGCAATACCCACGCAATACCCACCCACATAATACCCACACACCACAACGTAATACCCACCCACGCAATACCCACACACCACAACGTAATACCCACACCCGAACTAATCCTGTGCGGTATCTGTCATAGCTCTTGAAGATGCAGTGGAGCTTAAAGTAGACTGCCGATGGCTCTTTCGCATTTCTCTTTGAGCAAACACGTTATTAGGCTCGAGCTGCAACGACCTTTTCAAATCGCATTGCGCATCCTTGTATCGTCTCAATTTCCTCAACACGGATCCCCGATTTCTCAAAGCAAAAGCATCATCAGGTTTTATTTCCAGAGCAGCATCGAAATCCGAAAGTGCCTGAGTGTATTCTCCAATCATACGAAGCAAAGCACCACGACTTCTCAATGCAAACGGATTGTCGGGTTTGATACTTAGGGATGTGTTGAGGTCGAGAAGCGACTCTGTGAATTGATGCAGCATGCGGTAAATTTCACCCCGGTTCGCTAGGGCTACTGGATTGTTAGGCTCGATGTTGAGTGATTTATTGAGATCCCCTAATGCAGCATCGTAGAGCTCTAGTAATCTGTATATTTCTCCTCGGTTTCGCAACGCAGAGGCGTTGTTTGGGTCCAACTGCAGGGATATGTCAAAGTCATTTAATGCTTCTTGAAGATGATTAAGTATTCTATATAATCTTCCACGAGCTCTATACGTAGCAGCATCGGTCGGACATAGATCAAGAGTCTTGTCGAGATCGACTAATGCTTCCACGAATTTGTTCATGTACATATATACTTCTCCACGTACAGCCAATGCGGCTGCGTCAGTGGGATTAAGCTCTAATGCTCGGTCGAGGTCTTTGAGAGCTTCCGAGTGCCGGTTAAGTATGCATAAAGCCGTTCCTCGTACACGCAGTGCAAATGTATTGTCAGAGCGTAACTTGAGCGATTCGTCTAAATCTGCTATTGCCAGTTCGCACTGATTCATACGTCGATACACGTCTCCTCTATTGCGAAGTGCAAAGTCGTTCTTTGGATCAATGTTTAGAGCCATCGTCAAGTTATACAGCGCATCCTCGTATTGATCCATCATTCGATAGACTGCTCCACGTAGCGACCATGCTTGTGGCTTTTGAGGTTTTAGAGCAACGGCTGCGTCCAAGTCTTTCAAAGCTGCAGCAAAGTTGTTAATTATTCTGTTATGTTCTGCTCGTTTGCAAATGGCTAAATAGCTCTCTCCTGGAGAGTCGACGGTTACGTTATTTGCAGCGGGTAACGAGTCCGCCCATTCAGATACTTTCTGGTGTTTGAGCATTTTTTGATGTCTAAGTGAGTGTTTATTGTGAGGGTGAAAACTTGCTTCAGAGTTTCTTAGCTGTATGGAATGGATAAAAGAAAAAGTGTTTATACGTTAGTACGGTTTGTAAAACAAGTATTTAGAGTGAGCATACAGATCTTCTATGTTATGGTCCTAATAATAATACATGTATTATCATATACTAATACTATTGTTGTTGTTGTTGTCGTCGTCGTCGTCGTTAATATTGGTACCAACACTATCACTGTCATTCCAACAACCATACCTCAGTTATGGCTTCCGGCATATTGAATATTGTCTATTCGCCTGTTGCAAAGTTTCTTTGTTGAAGCAAGATTCTTTTTGAAAGAGGCGTAATTGAAACGTATATTTTTATATAAGGGAACTTAATATGATGATAAAGTTTCTGTTATAGGTAATGTTCACATCTCTGTGAAGGGACGAGGTTTCGGGTTTTGAGACGGAAATGGACAATTCAAACTGCGCGCAAGGTAATTTATATTTTTTTGGTGAAAAATGCAGTGCAACTGTTTTTAAAATTTATGACTTAATAGGATATGTGATTTCTCCGGGGTAAGACTAATAATAGAACATCTACTGCATGCATGGGACAATCCAATTCGCTATTATTGAGTACGGAAATTGGGTATTTCAAAGCTGTTTATATTTAATTTGTTAAATATCGTTCTGGAAATTTGAGAAACGAATGCAAATTACCATGCCCATATTGTGTCGCATTGTCCCTAGCCGTACTTTATTGTTTGTTGATGTTGCATGCCAAATGCCGGCACCTGTGTTACACTCAGCAATCACCTATCAGAATATGGATAACAATAAATAATTATATCCAGGGCAACGCGAAATATGCATATGGCAAGTCGCCCATTGACAATAGGACTACATAAAAGATTATGAAGAAACGTTAGTGAGACATTTGCCCTTGCATAAATTCCTTTTTTTTTCTTTACGCCATTATTAGCTGAAACATTACAAGAACAGTTACACGTGAGATCCAATCTTGCTTTTTTTACAATGTTTATTGATTCTTGAGAATGTCGTACAAATGTCTGAAACAAGCAGGTGATAAACGCAGGGGCATAGAGATTCAATGTACTCGGGCCAATTTCCAATTCTATTAGTTCTATTCGTTGGAGACATTTTCAATCTCTTAATAATCACATATGTTATCAATTGATTCGTCACACAACAGCCAATATTCCAAGGATATCGTCTACATTTTTTTTTGATCACAAACGCCTTGATAACGATATCGATATATGAGCATTTTCGGAGCTTGTGCGACACACAACTGCCACTGTTTCGGGTATTATTATTCAAGCTGAGATACACGATAATAATAAATAAGAACCATATCTGTTATATCCGTATCCGAGTTCTCCTTGTTATATCTGTAGCGATAAGGATAAAGACGATCAGGTATCAATAAATTATGCTCATTCTCAAAGTTCCATTGTATCGTCAATATCACGTGATATTGTAATATTAATCTTGCTTTTATTATTATTATTATATTAATTTCCCGTTAAATCTAAAACATCCTTTTTGAGCCTATTAGTCACTGTTCGACATTTGGCATTGAAAAACGCCATCTCGCATATGACAGTCCCTGACTGATAAACAGCAGCTGAACCATATTTTAAAGTTACCCGTCTGAAAATAGTAGTTGCTATACGGGAGTCAGGGACGTCTCCTTAACCCCTTACGTTAATGGATACGTTTAAGCAAACCATAAAAGTAAAGACATTCTGCGAGCAAAAATTTACGAGTCTTTTAATTAGCAAAACGTTCGCCACGAACAAACTTTCTTGCACTTACGGTCAAGTTAGTCAGATGGGTTATACGTAAGAAATAATCAACTGTCGTAATATCGTCGTAATAAATATGAAAATCTCTTTTTTTTTTGAACGGTACTTTTAAACTGTCGTCTCCAACCTAAATTATTTTATCGAACAAAAATCTTCGCCCGTGTAATCAAAATTTGTTTTACTTCAAGTTAAAGAGACAGAATATACAACTCTTATCGGCGACTTTGGTGTGCCGTTGTTCACTGCTTTTAAAAACCGGTTTTCACCTATTTTTGAAGCGTTCTTTTTTCAATTCTTTGTACACTCCTTGTTGTTCTGGTAAACAAGGCTTGATCTCTTTGATTGTGCGGTTCACAACTCCGATTTGTAGTCATTCTACTAGTATATTATATACACGTATTATATATTCATGTTAGGACACGGGTAATATCAGATAAGTACATTAAGAAGTTACACAATAATAAAATGAGAATTGCTATTATTCTGGACATGACTTATTACCTCGCATGAATCGATCAGCGTTCCATAAAGCTCGTTAACATGAATACTTCAAATTGCAATGTTCGAGTATACAAGTTGGTTGCACTTTGATGTTTTTAAACTTCTGCTCATGCATAATCTCGAATGAATACCGCATATCAATGCATCCGGCTTCATACAATTAAACGTTTCTTGTCACTTATTGTGTCACTTGGAGTTTTGCGTTCCTTTATTAGTTATTGTGCTACTTGGCCTGCAATAATAGTATTTGAAAAGATCTATTTTCAATGTATTTTCATGAGATTGAGCACGTGATGGAAATACAAAGAATTGTCATGCAATCGTTATGCAACGACTGTCCATTCTTTGTATTCTGCAGCGTACCTCATGTATGTTGGGCACAGCACAACGCACCGGACGTACATCAAACACATGGCGACTAGGATACGTTAGTATACTATTCTTTTAGACTCGTGGATATTCTTTTGCAAGCCAAAATCCATCATTGCAGGAAATTAAATTTTCCGTTCGGTAATTATCATATTGACATGAGTATAAAGTGTTAATATTGTTTTCACCAATCCACATACATTATTATTATGCACATTTCTGTCCTCTTCGCATGAGTCCGGGTGCCAAGAAATCTTTGCATTGATTTTATTGGCCATGAATTATGTTCATTTTCATTAATTGCGGGCGCATTTAATATCTTTCATTTTGAAAGCCGTTTGCCATCAAATCTAAAAAATTGAGCTATTTTTCGAATGTCTTATAGTAAACGGCCCTTGTTAGGCAATACTAATACTGTCTATAGTTAAGCACAAGAATTAGACAACCGTATGTAGACACTTATCATGGACCAGCCAAAGTATTGTCTGAGAATGTTGAGAAAATGTCCAATGTTTCAGCGCAATCAATTATATTCGACATCTTCATTAATTAGATTGAAGAGATTCGTTGACTAAACAATACATAACACTTGCAATCAACAGGCTGTTTTGGTGCAGTCCAATGACTTTACCTTATCAAAGAGTAACATATTAATAGTTTTTTGGCTGCCAGTTAATCGTTTGAGGATAAAAATATTTGTTCACCAATTAATAAATTTGCACCAACTAATATTAATATGGGAGAGCAGAAATTAATTAGCTGACCTTGAAACGTAGCTCTATTCTCAGTCTCAGTCTCACTTTGAGATTTCTTTTCGATCATTGGTGCTGCTATCAGCGGTTTCCAGCTCACGTCTAATAACTTGTTTGTTGAAGATAATCCTAAATTATTCTAATAGGCAATTAGTAATAAATAACAGTTTTGATAACATCAGCAAATTTGCTATTGGAGGTTTTATGATTAATAGTATCCGGACCGACGAATAAGAAAGAAGACCAGAACTTATTCATATTTTGATCGAATATCTACTAGCATACCATACTTCATGGACATGCCTTCTAATATGACTGTATTACGTTATATACTGTACACGTCGAGATAATAAATAACTATAATACTAATTCTAATTCACATCGTAATTTGGATAAATAAGCTATTTGAGAAACGTTACGTCTAGTTGAGTGTGACATCAGATGAAGTGGTCGTTGTTAATTAATTACTACGCGATTGTTAAAATTAGGACAAAGAGTTGTTTCATCATTAAAATGACTGTCGCACTGCCGCAGTTATACAGTACCTTTCTGTAGGTGATGTGATTGCGCCGAGAATTAAAGTTGGCGCGCCTCATAACCAACATATCTACAAAAAAGTGCGATATGTAGGCTATCGTATCTACGAACTTACTAATACCTACGTTACTCAACTAAAGTACTATAATTCGGGTAGCATTTACAGGTTACATTCTTACTAAACATTTTTGATTGATTGGATAAAGTTTGTGTGAAGATGTCGTTATCAATTTTAGCGGTCTTCCATCGCATTGATAAGGAGAGTGTGAGTATCGTAGCAAAGTTAGTGTTGATGCCTTTTCTTGGACAAGCAATAGACGACAACATCCAAGATGTACAACATAATTCTTTCCATAGTAAGATATTGACGCGTATAAACGTATTATTCTTATGCACAAGTGCCGATCTAAGCAGCCCCACACAATTCCTCTTGAGATTACTTTATTTTGGTTATTTTGGTGAGCAATTATTGTGAAATATCAAATAGTTTACATATGAGCAGATTTCACAGTATTATCTTCATATACTGAATATCCCGCAATTACGACTTTTCAGTAATATGTCTCTTCCGCGTACTGATTCACTCTTGATTATTCCATGCAACACAATCTGTAAATTTGACCGGCGTTCCTCCAAAGATATCGAGCGCACTATGTACAATAGGGACACGCGTTAAAGCCGTATAAGCGAATAACTGCTGAGAATTTTTAAATTGCATACCTTCCGAACGTTAAATCGACCTTTCCGTTCGACAGTGCATTGACCAATTCAAGATCTTTTATTGCTACAAATGTACAACGGGTAAAAGTCAATAGGTGACAAAGACGATTTAGAATTGTAAGCATAAAAAAATTCATACAATTTGCTCCACCAGCGTACGTCGTCGGAATCGTTGTCCACTCAGCAAGCCCTAAAGTAAAACAGTTCACTAGCTAAATCTAGTTGACACCTTTTTAAAATTCATTCCTAGGGCCCCTTACGTTCAACAAGTTCTTTATCAATCCCCTGACATAAGCCCTCGACATCAGCTGCATGGATTAGGAACTCACTAAATGTTGAGAAAAAATACCGCCATAAGCCAGATCGATCTCCCCAATGTCCTTTCCTCGCTCCCCAACTTGATATTGCTTACCTGCAAAAATTGGACAATAAATCAAGCGTTTCTGTAGATTTCTCACTAAGTATTTACAGTTTCTCGGTACGTAGGCAACTTGCCACAATACTAAAAAGTTCTCGTCACCTTTATTAACTTCCATGTCAGTGATGGTCTGCCACTTGTTCATTGCAACAAACCATTTGGCGTCCTTTTTACGACAGCTGGTTTTCAAAAGGTAAACATATCAAACATTACCGCATATGTAGAACATGCAAACGATGGAATAACTAACCATCTCCCAAACCTACCTTATATCGACAATTAATCTATCTTTTCCTACTTCATCTGAAAGTGCTTTTAGACGATCAAGAGAGAACTTGGCATCTGGAAAGAGGTACGATGTAACAATCACCTGATAAAATAAAGTCGAATTGAAAGAGTCAAGGTTAAAAATTCACGCATGTGTTTCCATCAGGATTGAGGGTAAAGAGATTAATTTGCCTTTTCGGCACCAAGATTGATCCATTCCAGTGCATTGTCGAGAGTTATTCCACCGCCGATCTGTAGTCCACCTGCGAGCGTAATATTACAAGCATCCACAGTCAGCTTGATCTATGGTAACAACCTCTCAACTGGTTGGCCCATATTTCAATCACATAATGAGGATTGAAAATAACGGACATGATGGTTGTTGCCATTATAAAACCAGTTTATTCTAAACTCAAGTTGACTATACAACAGTATCTTTATACAACCACCAAAATATTCCAATAAATTTTTTAACTATTTTACGAGACAAGAAACGCCGAATGTCACCTGGCCAACTACTCAATGCCTCTTTAGCGGCTTCATCATTTCCCGGGCCAATCTTTATTATATGGGCTCCTCTCAAATTATTATCTTTATACAGTTTTGCATAATATCCTGCTGGTTCGCTGAAATGTCATGTTAAGAAGAATCAGCAAAAAATGGCAGCGTTTTTACAAGGAGACGCTTTCAGGTATGCGACAGGATGCATTATGATGTTGTCAATACTTTGATATAAAGTTCGTCCTTAATGTCTTTGGAGAATTCTCGCTCACACTTCCTCCAACCAACTGTTTAACCTTTCCATTATGGAGATCAATGCATGGACGAAATTTAGTTCGCATGATTTCTACGAATAGTTATCATGTAAAAGAGATGGATACTAATACAGGGTATGGTTGAACATGACGCCACAGATGGATTTTCACTTCCACGCCACAGTCACTTGTAGTCACCTAACATTGTGTTTTTTGTCGAGCATAATGAAGGTACAGAATGTCACAATCGAACGCCCGACACGGTTATAATACCTTCCGACTTGCTTTTTCGAATAATTTTGCGTTAGCAATGAAACAGACGTTCGTTTTAAAAGAATCTGTTGACAAAGTTTCACCCGGCAAAATATAATAGTAAAAATGGTATAACCAGATGAAATTAAATAAGAATGTTTTGGTAATGGCAAATTCATTGTTAGATCCAGTTATCGTCCTGACTGTACTTGCCATTATTGATTTAAAGAGAAATATCCCACTTCCAATGAAATTCTTTCAATCAGCATGTCTTTATTAACCATATGATAACGTCTATTTGGATCCTGTACTATGAACCATTAAATAATAAAATTGACCGAGTTGTTCTACAATACCATTAATTAGGACATAGAATGTTGGTTTATAAGCTAAATATCCGGAATAAACAGGTCAAGTTGTTTGGAATCTAATAAAATAAATTGTAATTAATATGATTTTACACAAATCAATGCTAATATATCTTAACATAATAATACATACCAAACGTCATTTCTTCACTAGAAATCGCAGGACCGACCCGATTGGAACCTGATCAATTATATGCAAAGCGTCAAGTTAATAAACCGACATTATGCTAACTTTAGAAGATCAACATAAAAATGCGTTCATTCCACAAAAATCGTACCGTGATCGCTTCCATCTACATTTATCCGGAGACTTTCAAAGTTAAATACTCTACTGAAATAAACTGCTTCGGGATGAGCTGGTTTCTCTGCCAGCTTGGCACGATGGCTTTTTAGCATGTTCCTAGCCCTATCGAGTGCTGGGATATACTCCCGATTACGATCTTGATTCCACAGTTCTATTTCGAAAGCAAGTCTGTAGGCGGATGGGCGCTTGTCCGGGTCAGGATCAACGCAACTCTTGTAGGCGATCCTATAGAATTCTGGTGCCCAAGGGCTCAATTCTGGTCTAGAACCTTGACAAATGCTTTGGGCTAGAGATAAATCATGAGCTCTATGCTTGAATGGAGTGTCTTCCGTTTCAAACATCCACATTATGAGCCCAAATGCATAAATATCTGCTTTCTGGAGAACAACATTGTAAATGGTGATAGTTAAATAATGCAGATATAGACAGTGACATTGCACACAAAAGAAGTAGTAAATACCTGTGTGTATGGTTTACCGCTAAGAACCTCTGGCGCAACATATGGCATCACTCCAAATACTTCATTACGCTTCTTGGCTTCATCTTCGTGAATTGAAAGCCCATAATCGGTGAGATCTGCTTTATTTTCTCTGCTCTCAATAAGGACATTCCCTCCATGGATATCCCGGTGTATCATACCAGTCCCGTGGAAATCGTCCAAGCTTTTGGCTAGCTTTAAAAGAATCTGTAATTTGCGACTCCACGAGAGGTCAGGATTTTTGCGCAAGAAAGTAGTCAAATCCCCAAGATCTGCATAATCCATGACCAGAATGTGTTTGCCTGTAGTTGTCATGCGTGATACACCCACGATACACATCTTTTGCGACGGCCGACCCTGGATTTTCGAAACCATTGTCGCGCCCACTCTTAACTTTCGTGGGAAAAAAAAATAGCAACAAATTTGAGAATTTTTCAAACAATACGAGAACCTGCACTTCAAGGCATACATACCTCTTGCAAAAAATCCTCTTCGTCGCCATTTTTATCAAAAAGAAGTTTGACTGCAACTTTTCGAGTCTCTCTTCGCACAACACGTCTGCCGTCGTCCCCAAAATCTACTCCCACAAATTTCCCATTTATCCAATCCGCAGCATAGATCTTTCCGAATCCTCCCTTTCCAATCTCAACTAAATTATCGAGACGATCGGGTTGAATCCACCGAAGACATATAAAGTTGTGTTTGCTTGCCTTCTCTTGTGTATTTTGTATGATCGCATCGTAACTGGCGTTACCCGTTGTCCAACCTTCCATTAATTCCTTTCGATCACATTCATCACACCAAAAGTTGTTGTTCGGAAAAATCTTCCCGCAGGTAGAACAAAAGCCATGTGATACCAACGCATATGCGCCCGTGGCCTCAATACGCGAGATTCCAAAGAGTGTCAATCTTTCTCTTCTGCCCTGGCAAACTATTGATGCTTCTTCTTGCAACTATTTCGCGAGACCGAAAAAGCAGAACAACTTATTATTAAGCATAGTGTCAATCGAAATCATAATATCGTCGTGATTTAACTAGTTACCTCACATAAAAATTTGTCTTCAGATTGATCGCTTTCCGGGAAAACCTTGAGGAAAACTTTCATAGATTCCCAAATCTCTCGCTTTTTACCAGACTCGTCGTTATAGACTCCCTTGAAAGACCCATCGAGCCAATCTGCATAATACAAAGTTCCGAACTCCTCACAGACAACCTGGACCAAATTCTGAATTCGATCAGGGGCAATCCATTTGAGGCAAGGAAACGGAATCACGCTATTCACGTTCTTTTGTGTTTCTTTGAGTATTTCATCATATTTCTCGTGACCGCTTGTCCATCCTTCCATCAATTCCTTTCTCTTACATTGTCGGCACCAAGTCGTAATATAATTATTCAAATACCAACCACAGTCGTCACAAACACCTCCTGATACTATTCCTAATTTATTCGTCTCCTTATGTCTTGTAATTCCAAAGACGCGTAAGATAGTATGGCCATATCTATCCCAATCCTTTAGCTAAAAAACGACATGATTTTAGTTCATCGGTAGGGAATAAATTTTCGCTGCTTTAGCATTCTCACTTACCTCTTCAATGTAAGCAGTTTCGTCTTCGACGATTTTAACCGTAGCTTTCTGCGGTTTCCATTGATGAACGATTCGTTGATTTTCATCAAATTTCCAAGAGTCATATTCCCAGTCTAACCATTCCCCAGTATATATTGTACCATATGTACGTGCCCCAGTTTCTACTAAATTTGCAAGACGGTCCCATGGGATCCATTTGAGACATGTGATCGAAAATTCATCGACATCTTTTTGCGTCTCTCGGATAATGGTGTCAATTTCTTCATTGCCGCTAGTCCAACTGAACATTAACCGTTTTGGATCACATTCCTGACACCACACCTCTTTAGCATTGTCATTCCCGAAAAAGATGCGACCACAGCCCAAACACGCGGCAAAAACTACTAGCGCATATTCTCCACTGGAATCCGACTTGGAGACACCCAAAGGTTTCAGTTTTGGTTGATAGTTCGGTACTGACATTTGAAGACCCCATTTGCTTGCTTCAAGCGCTGCTGCAGCACATTCCTTCAGCTAATTGGAAAAAAAAAAAGTTATTCTACGAATCAAACTATAATTCACAACGCCTAAATATCAAATCAAGTACCTCTTTCAAAAAGTTTCCGTCATCATTGTCGGACGTTTTTGGAAAAAGTTTGACAATTACACGGCAGGTGACCCAATTGTGAATGATGTATTCGCTATCTGCATCATCAGTAGTAAACTTATATTGACCGTCAACAAAATCAGCTGCGAAAATACTGCCAAAGGATCCTCTTGAGATTTCAACCATGTTTTGAAGCCGATTCCAGGGAATCCATCGAAGACAATGATATCCATGCCAATCTCTATTATACGCATTCTCTTGTGACTCGCGTATTACTTTATCATATTCTGAATTTCCACTTGTCCATCCTTCGGTCGTTTGCTTCCCGTCACAGTCTTTGCACCAAGCATTATCATTTGGGTAGAAAATACCGCAAGAATGACAAGCCCGACGACTCACGATGGCCAATTCTCCTGTCGAATCAAGTCTTGATAGGCCAAAAACTCTCGATTTCGTAGGTGTCCATGATTCCTTACTTAATAAATCTTGAAGCTCCGGATCATCTCTCATCCACTTTTTTTTTGAAACATCAACTCTATTACAGGCAAACACTCGTTGAAGTATGAGAAAGATTTCCGCACCGTCATTCAACTGCGATTCAGGAATAAGGTAAGTAAAAATGATTAAAAAAAAAAAAAGATACAGTTATATATACATACTTCTTGCAATATGGTCTCGTTGGTATCGTCTTGATTGGTTACAGAAGGAACTTTGACTGATACTTTCATAGCTTTTCTGTGGCTAACAACTTTTAGTTCGTCATCAAACCCAGTCTTGACCTGAACCCATTCAGCAGTATAAAGCTTGCCAAAATTGCCGGTGCTGATCTCTACAAGGTTTTCAAGACGCGTAGATGGTATCCATTGAAGACTAGGGTAGTAATATGCGGATTCGTCCTTCGTATAGGAATCCTTGATAACCTTATCGTAATCGGCATTGCCACTGGTCCAACTGTCGCCCAATTTATTGCGTTCACACTCATCACACCACTCTGCTGCTTCAGGCAGAGCTTGGCCACATATAGCACAAAAATTGCTTGCAACCAATGCCAATGCTCCAGTAGACTCGATTCGTGTCATACCAAGTATAGGCAACCGTAATGGATTCCCAAGTTCTGCCCCAGCCTTCAGCTATAACGATCAAACAAGGATTGTATTTTAATAACCAATTTAGACAGTTTCATCTATTGTTGAATCAGAATAAATTTACCTGATGCAGAAAGGACGAAGTATCAACCCGGAGTAAGGCTCTGGTAGTTTTCCAATGTAGCACAAAATTACGATCTTCGCCTTCAAAATCCCATCCACTATACTCTCCCTTTATCCAATCTGCTACGTAGATGGTCCCAAACTCACCCTTAGCTAACTCTTTGAGATTCTGCAGTTGATGAGAGGGGATCCATTTGAGACAAAAATATGCAAACGAACTTGCATCACGTTGTGTTTCTTGGATGATTGCATCATATTCGGTATTTCCTGTAGTCCATCCTTCCATCAATTGTTTGATATTACATTTGTCGCACCATGGACCATCAGCCAAAGTGCGAGGAAACAGCCCACCACAAGTATTGCAGAATTTTTCGGCCACCAGCACGAGATTTCCAGTAGATTCTTGACGAGATACGCCCAAAAGTCGGAAGCGTTTTTTGGGGTCCTTACCCATGCACCAAAACTTTAAGTCTGCGTTGCCTGTTCGTAACTGGGAAGGTGTTGAAGGAGATGCAAGACAAGAAATTGTTTAATTGGGCGCGTGGAGACAGCACTGATCATCGTATGCCATAAAGTGATGTTTTCACAAATATAATGAAATTCCTTACTTCATGTGCAAATTCTTCCTCCGCACTTTTTCCTGAATTCATAACCTTAACTTCAACTCTTAGGGGCTTCCACGAAATCACTCGTTTTCCATCTGGCTCGAAATGCACACTATCAAACTGGCCGTCCAACCAGTCGGCTTTGTAAACCACACAGAATTCTCCTTTTGTAATCTCTACAAAATTTTGTAGGCGATCCCATTGAATCCATCGGAGGTAATGCTCGTTGTAATTGCGCCCATACTGTTTGCTTTTTAATATGTTGTCATATTCCGCATTCCCAGTAGTCCAGCCCTCCACGAATTGTTTAAGGTCACAATCAGCAGAGCACCAACTTGTTTCTCGATATAAAGTTTCGCCACAAGAGTAGCAGTTAAATTCTTTGCTACTCATTTTGAAGCGAGATAATCAACGTGTCTGTGTCGGCTCATTATATTTGCTTATAAAAGACGCAGCAGTAATAAATTTTGCGCAACTTTGAAAACCTGGTTTGGAGATGAATTAAAGCTTCGTCACACAAGCCCATATATAATATTGTAATCGAGTCAGTGTTACAAATATGAGCCACTTTTGTCTCTCTATTGACCGATCGATCATGTCGTGCAGCCACGTTAAAATACAATATACTACGATTGAGCCGACAAGGCCAAAAAGTGAGAAAAGATGAAGTGGCAAGAATGAGAAACCCTATTTACTTTATTTTTTATTTTTTAATTTGATACCAAACAATGTTGATACCAAATTGAGTTCTAATACGAAACAAGTTGATACATTCGAGGGTTAATCTATGATTAAAAAAAGCGATCATTTTATTGCTAGGCAATTAGATAAACCCGAGAGTTTGAGAGCGTTGAACCTTTCTCTATTCTTGTATTCATCGATGTGATACACAAACATTTCACACTGTTCACTTTTCCATAGTGTTCCGTAATCTAGTGCGAGAAATTTCTAGAATTGGGTTCTTATCATAAAAGGTGCGATCTGCGTTGTCCAAATCGGGTAAAACTCCTAACTGTCGCGGTCGCGGTAGTAGTTAAAAGGAGCGATAGTAGTACCCATTGTTAGTCGATTTATAACCATAATATGTCTACTACCACGAACTTTGACTTTGGTAAATTCTGCTTCTACAACTTTGAATGAAAATCTCGAGTAATTGTTATTATTATGTCTTCGCCTGCTATTTATACATTAACGTTCATAGATAGAGCTGCTCTTTCGTATTTCAAAAACAACGAACCCGTTGAATGGAGCTACCGGGGATTTCTCGAAAAAATGAAACTGTTTATCCTTGAAGACGAAACAGATGACGCAGATCTTCCAGCAACTTGGCGGCACCGTTTTTTCCGTGTGATCAAGTTAATTATGAACAATGACAATGGAGAAAAAAGTAGAATCATTGATCAGATTGGTACTCGCTTGCTTGATCAGGTTTGTTTCTCTCTATTATTATGGCTGTATTACGCGCAGCTCGGGGGAGGTGCGCCTCCACCTTGCAAGAGAGTCCTTTATGAGGGTGTGCAATGCCTTCACAAAGTGCCCGAGTATGGGGTGCGCCTCGCGCAATGCACAACCCAGAGGGGGTGCGCCTCGGTTCTTGCAAACATTCATAAGGGGTGCGCCTCTTATGATTTCTGGGGAAGTAATAGTGCAACTAAGCAAAATTGTTAGTGGAAATTATGTAATGTGAAATGATTGACTATTTCTCTTTCTGCAAGAAACAAACCGGCTTTAGCAAGAAATATTGGAAACAGCTCAAAGCAGAGCGAGCTCGAAACAATGCAGAAAATGATCTTGAAAATAAAAGAGTAAATAGCTTTTATCGTTTCGCTGGCTACTTACAACTTGTTAATTGTATTCTGCATATTTAGACCTTATTTGAGTTGGAATCCCAAACTGATGCATTGGATATATTGGCAATGGCGCGTAAATGCCAAACCCATAAAATTATGGAAAAATTAAATCCAAAAAAAGCAATAGATGAAGATATCAACACTGAAGAAATCAACACTGAACAAGATATCAACACTGATGAGGTAGTTGATTGCATATATTCTGCACACAGTATACTTATTGAACACATTCATTCTAGTCTGCAGCTTTTCCAGTTCTATCTGCTACAAGGAAACCATATCGTGTATGGATTCAAAATGCTCGGTTTAAGGCGTGCTCTACCTTAAAATGCCTGTTTTGCTGATATCTTTTTTACCCTCACAGGACTTACTGGATTTCGAAATTGAACCGGAACGTTCAGCTACCTTGAAGAAAATTTGCATGGAATTGGATAGCCATTCTGGCAATGGGAATATCGTCGATATGCGGCCCAAATCTGCCTTTCTCAAAAGTCTTCCTAGTGAGATTGTTGAACAGTACCACCAAGAAATGGAGGATAAAACGGCAGATCTCATTCCAGACCATGTTCATCAGTTTCTTGTAGACTTCTTCTCGCAATCTTCATTGGAAGATGAATGGCAGAACAGAATTGACGATTTGCGGGCTCCCAATAACAACGATTTTTTAATGGTCGCCTTGGTACGGATACTTCGACGAACATTACCACAATTGTAAGAATGAAGCAACCGTTGTCTTGTCCTAGTATGTGAGAAATTGCTAAAAAAAATTTACCACATTTTATTAGCATTAAAGCCTTTTCGCTTGGTGCATTCAACCCTCTCCTCGCTATCACGACGATCGAAAAACCACATCTAAATGCCTTTGTACATCCCTGCCTGGAAGCGTCATTGTGGCATGTTGCAAAAATTAATTATGAATTTGGGGAGATTTCCTCTCCGAACCATATGAATCGTGATTGCGCTGATGGAGTCGGGTACATGAAGAGTGCGGATAAATTCCAATTGGTTTACATGGAAGGTGCGCGTCCTGTGGCTAAAGAAGATAAAGAAATTGCGGATGCCAAGAAGATCGCACAGAACATGAAAGAGATTTTTTCAAGCATCATCAAAGAAAGCCTCAGTAATCGAAAGCGTCTCCCACAAAGCATGGCTATATTTGGTGGGCAGAGCTTCAGGCTTCGAATCTATTTGCTTTATCTTGAATATTTTGGTATGCCATCTCAAGTTAAAATGTTTTTATGTAGGTGCATTAAAGAGCTCATCATTGCCAATTGTTGCTAACTTACAGGTGGTAAATTCTGGCTCAATGAAGTTGAAAATGCTATTCTTCCAAGGGACTTCTCGGAAATGGAAGACTTCGTGTGGTTCTATGAAGCAATCATAAAATGGGCTGTACGTGTCAATATGTGAATTTAATTTATCATATTGTGCTTATTCTAACGTTGGTTATTGTAGCTACTTGCTCGCGACGTAGTAAACGGCTTTAATGAAGCAAGAAAACGAAAAAGGTCTTTGCGACAGTTTACGCGCTTGCTCGATGATTTATAACATATAACATTGGAGATTGATGTAATCATTTTCTCTCTAAAGAAACCTATTCAACGCACTCTTTTGACATTCATATGACATTCTCCATTTATTCGCAAAATTGTAGCGCGCTTACTTCATAGATGCAAGGGATTTTTTCTACCCCTTGTATTGCAACCTTTTTCTTCATAACATCACGTGATACTTTCGTGTAAAAAGTAATAATAAATTTTATGACTTCCGATGCCGTACGGCCGGGAATGCAAGACCGAAAACATCGCTAATATACATTGTTAGCTTGTCGAATTTCTTCACGAGCAGTCCATAACAGTTTGTAATGCTCAGCCAGCTGCTTTACAATGGATGATACCCATTTACGTTGAATAAGGACACATGCTCGCACCTTTTTCTGTTGTGCGGCGCCGACCTCCATTGCTCGTTTAAGTCTTTTAATAGCATTTGACATCCATAACTCGTAATAATGCAATGCACGCATATCGTCGAATGTACGATCAGATTCGGGTTTATGTTTAATTTTCAAAAAATCTTCATACTTTAGTTCGCAATATTTATTACCAATACATAAAGATTTCCAATGTTTCTCCATAGTTTTAATGTTTTTTCCGGTGTATACTAATTCGTTGCAAGATAAACAAATGGCAATTCCTATCGTTGGAGCGTATGATGTACCATCTTGAAAGCGTATCAATTTTCTTGCATTAAAATTTTTTTACTCTCGATAGGTAAAAGATCATTTTCTCTGAAATACTGCAAGCGAGACCAAATGCGTTGTTTCCACTCTCCAGGAGTTTCATTAGTGCAAACTTGTGGCATCCAGCAATATTCGGTCCATTCTTCAGGAGTATGCCGATTTAAATCCATTTAAAATATTTTATTTAACGAATACGTTCAAATGTTTCTAGCGTTTTTAGTCTGTTCGTATATACCTATATGAAGATTCAATTTTTTCGTTTTCGGTCAATAATTCACGATGCGTTGGCGGAAACTTATATAATTAATTTAATCATGAACGTTGTCATCATCATGATGACGAACAGTCATGTTGAAGCTATGTCTCTAAATATAAGTTCGAAGACTTTTGTAACACATTGTACAATAACAAGATTTCGGTTCATTTATTCAAACCTTAATCCGTATAAGCAAGAAAATCTATTTCTAGCATGCATCCACATCTATTTTTCGGGAAAGTAATCAGTTGGATATTACAATAATTTTTTTCGCAAGTATTTGGAATTTTAGTATCATTACATGTGACCTGATGACATTCACCGGGAGTTTCTCAGTACGAAATTTGTGGCATCAAACAATATTCAGTTTTGGTACATTTTAGAACTGCGTAACCGCATAAATCTTGAATAGTAACCATTTTATTATACTACATATAATATAAACTCTACTGTTCAGATGATCAATATTAAATTTAATCAAATTGACTCATCCATTGTTATGTATCTTTTGGGTGACTTAACAGTTCTTAAAAGTAAGTTTCTTCCCATCACTTGCCATACACCTCAGGAAGAAGTTGTAGCAATCTCTCGCGATCGCCATTTGCTCTGTAGTACAGTCGGGGATTTGTCGATGTAGATCCTTCTTTTTATGGTAGTAAAAAAGAATCTAGAAGTTTCTCGAAATCATTGTAGAACATTAACGAAAATTTCGAAATATTACAAAATTCAACTATTATTCTTCTTTATTAGTATTAATAATCTTATCA